TCAAGGAGGACTCTGTGCATTCCCATGTCCTCAGGCTCATTCCTTTAGTCACCACATCCCACAGCCCCATGAGCCAGGCCATGAGTTTCTTTTATTGTTTTTATAAAAGTCCCAACCTGAGCAATTCAGTTGTTGAGTGTTCCTTGGTTACCATAGTGTCTGTCCTGTGCTTTTCTGTAGGTTTCTAGCGACTTGCTGAATCATGGAATTTTCCTACCTCTGCAAAGGAAAAGGTTGAGCCTCAGGGCTCTCTTCTTTCATGTTAACCCTGTGTTCCTTCTTGTTCTTCAGTTCTTCCCATGGAAGTTTTAGGATCCCAGGGAGAGCTCTTTTAGCTCACAGATCTAATTTGTGCTACCTCTACCCTGCATTGTGCTGGCTGCGTGAACTAGCAAGACAACATCTCCATTTCCTTTCCTTTTTTTCTGCTTGCTTTGAGGTCAGAGGTTGGTGAAGGACAGCATCTCCATGTCTAAGCCTGATGTTGGGACTCTTTTGTGTGTCAGTCTTGCTCACTGAGGCAAGTTCTCATGACTGAACCCAGAGCTTGCCAATAAAGCTGGTTTAGTTAGCCAGCTTAGTCAGCTCGTGCTGAGGTTCCCTGGTCTCTGATTCAGAGAGCTGGAGTTACCCAACTCCCCTCAGCATATACAAAGGTCACGGGGATCTCAACTCCAGTGTTCAAGCCTATGCAACGAGCACTTTATTTACTGAGCCATGTCTCCAGTGCCCTCTTCCTGAGAATGAGAGAATGTTTCAACCTAGGACACAGCTATATAACAAGTGGGCATGTGTGTGCTGTATGTATGTCTGTTCATATGTGTGAGAGTGCTTATACTACTGCTTGCATGTGTAGAGTACGGAGGTCAACATTGGCTGTTTTCTTGATCCTCCACCAGCTTGTTTTTTTGAGACAGTTTCTCAGTGACTTTTGTGCTCGTCCATTGTCTAGACTAGGTGACCTGAGATTTCTTGAGGGCCCACTTTCTCTACTTCTCCATGCTAGAATTACAGTACATGCCACTCCACCCAACTTCCTTCATAGGTGCTGTGTGTCTGTGCAGAAGGCTTCATGCTTGTCCAGCAAACAGTTTACCACTGAGCCATTTCCCTGAGCGTCAACTACCATATCTTAATCACTGTTATTAATCATTTGCACCTTCAGAGAACCCAGGAATTCTCTGAATATTACACTGTTTAATGTCGTTCATCATATTTCTCTCCTTCTTTCTTGGTATTGGTATTCTTTCTGAATTGCATTCTTCCCTAATAGAAACATGATACTTTCTTATTTTAAAAATGCTTGTTTATGTCTGTCCCTGTATATGTATAAGGATGTTCACTTCTCATGGTTTGTATGTAGAGGCACAGGACAACTTGTGGGAGCTGATTCTCAGCTGCAACCATGTGAGCTCTGGGGAAGGATCAGGTCTTCAGGTTTGGCAGGCAGCACCCTTACCTGCTGGGACATCTCACCAGCCCCACAATATCTGTCTTACTGAACTTTTAGTACATGTTAAGTCCTTTATGTGGTCATCAATACAACAATACTACATACAAGCACAAATTTACCTTAGACAATGAAGCTTTTGCCACAAATAGACAGCTAGCATGACTGTAGAATTGGTTTCCAGCTGAAGACTCAGTGATTGTAGTACCAAGGCCTATCTCATGGCATCCCAGTCTTGTTTTTCTTTGTTGCTTTCCATTAGTTTGTTTTCTTTCTTGTATATCTCTCTAATTTTGAAAAATAACTTTACAAGCATTTATTAGTTCAAACTATGAGGACAAATGGAATACAATCTTGAACCCAGCCTTAAAGCTCTTATAGAGCCTCTAACTTAGAAGAGAAGGCAAATGTGAAAGATATCCCAATACTAATGCCAAAGGAAATTCATTGTGCTTTAATGCTCTTCTTCCTAGGTAGCAATGAGGACAAAACCTAAGTTTATCTGGGCATGGCAGTATACACCTGTAATCACTGGTGAGGTGGAGAGAAGAGAATCAGTAGTTCAAGGTTTTTGTTTGGCTTCAAAGGATGTTTGAGGCTAGCCTGAGGCTAGCCCATGTGAACCTGTCTTCAAACAAACAAACAAACAAAGAAACAAACAAATCCAACTGCAATCTGAATTTATTCTTGTTACTCTATTCTTATCATCTATCACATTGTCTAACTTGCAAATCCTCCTGCCTCAGCCCCCTGAGTCAGCACTTAGGGATTTTGTCAAATTGTTTCCACTTCACTGACATATTGATGTTCTTACCATTCATCAACCAATAGGGCTCCATATTTATTCTGAGACAACTTGCTCCTTAGTTCACAGTGAAGAAGAAACAAATTTCAAAAAATTACTAAATTTAAAAATCACCCATTTAAAAAAATTTACTTGTAGGAAAAATAGCAACATACGGAGTGAGTTTCACAGTGAAGTTTCAGTCTTATGTGGAACTGAGGAATTTTAAAGAAAATCTTCTCATTAGCCTGCCGTGAAGACAACTGCAAACCTGACATTCTTGAACATGTATTTTTTTTTCTTTAAGGTACTCTCCTAGTTCCTCTTTAAAGAGTTATTCTATTGTATTAAGAAGTTAAAACATCACAGGGAGAGGCCTGAGGCCTTTCTTAGCACTCAGTCAGTCCTTGGCTGTTGGCCATGCAGGGACAAGTGGGTAGCACCCCTGTGAAGCAGCAAGTTCTCAGAGGAGGGATTAACATGAGCTTTCAAAGCAGCTGGAAGGCAGGTGCTGAGGAAAGGGGTCAGTGCTTGGCAATAGTGTCTGCTCTGGGTTGATGCCCAAGTGTTGTTTTTTTCCTTTGTGAGTGAGGGTGCTGAAGTCTGGAGAGCTCAGTGTAGGTATTCAGGGTCACACAGCTAGTCAGTGGCCAAATCTGAACACACGCTCTCTGACTCCAGAACCTTTGCAGTATAATTTGGCTCTTAAGTGACACCTCCCCCAAAGTGTTGAAGACTTAGTCCCCAGCTTGTTACCAACGTGAAGTGGTGTGACCATGTTGAGGGTGTTTGTGTTCGGAGTCTTGTGGGTAGATCTGAGAAAGAGAGACACTGCAAGGTGTTAAGGCATTGCTGGCAGCAGGGTGACCCAGTCTCTGTGTACTGAATCTCAAACAGCCTCACAAAAAGCATGTTTACTGATTGTTACATAAAAGTTGTCTTTTGAGCAAAACAAATTCCTCCTGCCAAAGCCCTTGGTCTGATCTATATGTTTCATGAAGGAAAGCACCACACCCCAGCGACTTCAGTCCTTACTGTGCAACTTTTACAGCACCCAGTATTATAAGATGTTCCAGATGTGTTGGCTATCTTGTGACCAAAGTCATGCAAAGGCTGAAAGCTCCTTCAGAAAAACAACTCCATAGATAATAGAAAACGTTGCTGTTTTGTACAGTGGCTTCTTTATGGTCTAAGTACTTCTAGAAAACAACTACTCATTCTGATATGTACCCTAGAGACAGTGAAAAACAACTCCTTCATTCTACTGTTTACCCTTTATACAATGATTCTACTAGAATTCCACTATGAGGGGTAGAGCCCAGCAGTGGGTCTTTAGGTCATTAAGGGGCGTGCCTTTAAGGGGCAGTGGGACTACAGCCCTTCTGTAGCTCTCTTTCAACTGTACATGAAGCGTTTGTTGTTATTCACACATTCCCTATGCTGTGTTCCCACAACCAAAGGACTAAAAGTAATGAGTTTGTCCCCATATGGACCTCTACAGCCATGAGCCAAGATGGACCTTTTCTCTTTATGAGTAGTAGACATATCGTGGGTATGTGTCATAGTGATAGCAACACGCTTTGATTTTATTCCATACTACTTCTAAATAAATAAAGCATTTGATAATGAAAAAAAAAAAGAAGTTAAAACATGTGTCTGGGCATATTGCCTGAATGTATATAAGTGCACCACATGTGTGGAGTGCTTGCAGAGCCCAGTGAAGAGGAACTTGACACTTGTGAGCTACCATGTGGGTTTTGGGACTTGAATTTGAGTCCTCTGGAAGGGCAGCCAGTGCTCTTCACCGCTGAGCCATCTCTCTGGCTGTGGTAAGTTGTAGAACGTTTAGTATGTGGGGTCTAGTGATGGTGTTTCCATGTTGAGGGAATGTCAGTGAAGGGGTTTGTGTGACCTGTCTCTTGTATTTATTTTGCTTCCTGACTGTGGGGTGAACAGCTTGCTTTGCTACATGTTGACCAACACTGTGGTCCAGCATTATCGAGAGGGTCCTAAATCAACAGATCTGCCAAATTATGCCATGGAAGCTCTGAAACCATAAGCCAATGCAAACTTTGTCTCTTTATAGGTTGATTGTGTCAGGTGATTGGGTATGGTGAAAACAACCTGAGTTTTGCTGGCCCAGGCATTTTGGGTAAGGGATACTGAAGCTTTATTTAATGAAATTTAAAAATACTTTGAAGGATTTTTTTTTGTAAGGAGTGTCTTAGGTTCAATAACTTGCATTGCACTATTATTATGTGAAATGAATTTATTAACTATAAGCTTCCATAGGATAATATTGGGAGGAAGATTTTTTAGAAATTTATGTTTGCTAGCAGAGGTCATGAGGTCATGAGGATGACTCAATGGCAGGAGGGATGCTTTCATAGAAAGAGGGAGAATAAGTGACACATGCAGAAAGGAAAGTCATGTGTGCACATGAGGATGATTGATCTCCCGAAGGACCTGCCCATGGTGGCACCTGGATTTAAGTGCCCAGTGTATGAGATACAATGAGATACAGTGTATGAGATACAAGTCTACAGGGTATTATCACAGCATTATTATTACTACATAATTTTCTTCTTCTATTTATCTTCCAGCCCCTTAAACTGAAGTCTTCCTTATCATAGTTTGTTTTGAGGAGGACAAAATGATAGCCCTGGTAACAGGACATGAGTGTTTCAATAAAGAAAGTGACACTGCCAGCAATCAACAGGAGCATATCAAGGGTGTACTGGGAATGTCAAATACCAACAGCAGACACTCTTTGTAATCAACAATTTATTAAGTATTATCACGTGGTATCATATATTGATTAAAGAAGTCCTTCATGATCCCAGCCCAGATAAGTAATGACAGAGATGGGGAACTCAGGATTCCGAACTGGTCCTGGCACTGAATTATAGATGCTCTTTATTGTCTCTAGAAGGATGCTGATGATTGTAGAAACTGATTGGTTAATAGCAAACTTATGATCAGTGGTTCTGGTTTCTTTTGACTTTGGTCTTAAGTCTTCCTGTTGATAGACTCTATAAGTCATGCTAATCACTCTCTAACCCAGGCTTAGTGAGGATGAGAATGCTCAGGTGTGTGTGTGTGCATGTGTGTGTTTGTGTGTTTCTGTGTGCAGGTGTGTGTGTGTATCTTCTGAAACACAATAAACACATAAAGGCAAGATGTACATAAAGGAAGGAATAATTGTATACAATTTCGAGAGGTTGAAGTTGCAAAAAAAAGGAAGTAGAGAAGTGACACAGAGCTCACTGTGTGTGTGTGTGTGTGTGTGTGTGTGTGTGAATTCAAGCATGCATGTAGAGTTGGATTGTCAGGTTCTGACATATTGATAACCCTGACCCTAATCCTCAGGTTTTGCCAGGGTGGCAGTTAATTGGCTCATGTAAAGAAAAGAGGAGGTATTTATCTAATGAGTTCTTAATATTACCTCTTTGGTTTTGTAGTTGTCAGTAGCTGTGGGTGAGCCAAGTTTGAGCTAGTTTTTTGAATATGCCTCTCTGAGGAGAAATTTTGCATCTTCAATCACTGTGTCAAGGAAATAAAAATGCAAGTAATAGCTTTTCCTAAAGTAAAGCCCTGTTGCCAGGAGCCCACCATTAGCTGAGGCAAATTTCTCCAAATACTTCAAAAGCTTTCCTCCTTATGTTTCCTCTTTCTCCGTTTCCAACAAATAAGGAGATTTAAGTTTTTTCTTCAGTTGTTCAACAGGCACTTGGGCTTCCTTAGCCATGAACTCCAGGGATTGATCATCCACTCCGAAGAGATCTCTATAGTGGTTTAAACTTGCCTTCAGCTTTTCCACATCATTGTCTATGAGGATGCCCACTACAGGAACAGTAGAGCAAACTCCATCCTTCAAGGCTTCCAACCAGACAAACTGCTTGGCAGAGTTGTACTTTCTTTCAATGGCTGCCTCAGTAACATTAGGCAGGGAAAGCATAAAATTGTGTCGCTTTTGAGCAGGAAGATCCCCTACGAGGGTGTCCATCAGGAGTGGAAAATCATAGTCGGATAAATCATGGTTAGATATCAAGAACACCTGAGGTTCACCAGTTTGTTTGTCTCTAAAGACTTCCAGATAGGAACTTCGAATCTTCTCCATGGTGTTTTCTCTGTTAAAGGTACTTGGTTTGGCCTTCTTTTCATTGTCTAGATCAGAGTCCACCTTGGTTCTCACAAGGTAGTAATTCTTGTTCATAAGTCTGATTGCTTTGGCAAGTTCTACTTCATGTATTGTAGGTCGTTGTGAAGAAGCAACAATGAAAAAGTCATACTTCTTGAATTCTACCTCTTCCAGATAACTTTTTGGTGGAAACTTCTGAGTTCCAATGCCAGGCAGGTCCCATAATGTCAAATTTTTAATTTTGGGGTGTTTGTATGACTTTATAGTTATGGTTGTTTCTGTTACCCCAGTTTCAGCTGCTTCTTTCTCTTTACCTTTAACTCCTCTTAGGGCATTGATGAGGCTGGACTTCCCTGCTCCAGCCTCTCCTGTCACAGCAACATTTATTGCTGCATTATCAATATTCTTTAATGCATCATTGATTACAGAATTTGCTCCCTGAATATTTCCTTTTTTTAGGTGTAACTCAATTAAATGGATTGTTTCCTCAGAAATGATTTTGTTTTCTGGCTTATAATTCTTAAAATATTCGGTGAAGCTGCACTCCAAACTTCCATTGTTGTCATTCTTAGGTGTACCAGAGAGGAGCTGACCCATGACTGTGAGCAAAAAAGTCACTGAAAGAAGTAAAGAGAGTAAGTTTCAAAGATAGAAGACGCCTTTGTGCTTAGCAGTGTGTTCTCTATGTCTCAGACTCAGTCCTGACACTGACTAGTTCTCATATATGTTGTACATGTTATTTTTTTGATAAATTACAATCTTGATTTTTCTTGGATGAGGAAACCTCAGCTGAGGAATTGTGTCTATCAGATTGGACTTGGGTTGTGCCTATGGGACATTTTCTTGATTAAGGATTGATGGGGGAGATCCCAGCCCAGTGTGGGTGTCACCATCTCTGGGCAGGCGGTCCTGAGTTATAAATTAAACAAATGATCCAACTATGGCGAGCAAGCTAGGAAGCAGCATTCTACCATCATTCCTGCCTCTGCTTTTGCTTGAGTTTCTTTTCTGACTTTTCTCCATGATGAACTGTGATTATAATGTGTAAGCCCCCTAAAATATTTTTCTCCCCAAATGCTTTTGGTCATAGTGTTAATCTCAGAAATAGAAAACTAGAATAGGTATTTACTAGTTTTCAACCCCTTAATTACAGAAAAAATTAAAACTTAAGAAAGGGAACTACTATAAAAATCTACATGTTGTTTTAGGCAGCATCATCATTTCTCAAAACACTCAAAACACAGGTAGGTATGTCACCTACCTGGAGTATTTTATATGAAATCCAATGTCTTCTCCCTCCGTGAACACTTCCTTCAGTGTGTACCTTCTGAGGATTGGGAGTTTAGTCAACAGACATCTAGTTTTCCAAGCTGAAAACAAGTAATGATGAATGATAGTTGACATCAGTGTTTAATCAATGCTGACTCTAATGGTAACATAAATTTTTGTTTTCAGGAGATATCAGAAGAGCTGATATTACTTCAGCTCTTGTATTTGGTTGAAATAATTTTTAATTTGTCTAGATTTAATTTCCGTTCGTTTTTTTTTGTTTTTTCATGAATGGAACTCATGTCCCAGAGGGATATAAAGCTGCCATCATACAAAATTTCTTTTCCCTTAAAGTCAATGGTAAAATCCATTTATTCAATACAATGTTTCTTTGTCCTTATGCCATCATTTAGATCCATTGCTATTTTTTAAAGATTTTTTTTATTTAATGAAAATAATCTAATTGAGCAGTGCAGATACAGGTCAATTGGCAGAATGTTTTCCCAGCATAAGTAAGGCCTAGCGTTTAATTCCCAACACCTCATCAAGTGCACGTGGTCGTGGGTTCCTATGTTTCTGACATTCAGGACATAGAGGTAAGAAGGTCTGGGCTTCACTGTCTTTCTTGGTACAGAGTGAGTTAGAGGCTAGCCTGGGCTACTTAAGAGCCTGTCACAAAAGATTAAAAATTAAGTCCATCAAGCTGTCTCAACAGGTGAATCCACTTGCTGCCAGACCTTAGAACTGAGTTTGATTGTTGGGTATTTGATGAGCTCATATCTCATGTTTCTGTCCTTTATTCTCCATAAACCTGACTACAAGACCTCCCATGGCAGCATAATAGACCTCACTGTCCATTTAAGGAAACAGGAGCCCCCTGCTGTCAACCTGAGGCCTCCTCTTTCTGTTTCACCCCTATCAAGTCAGTGTGCAGATGTAAGTTCTATTTCCAGATTCGTTCAGAACTGATCATATTTCTACATTATTTTCTTTAAGACCTTCTCAATTCCAGCTTTGATTATGTCATTGACATTACTTTTTCCTGTGACTGTTCTTGAAACAACATTTATTATCAAATAGCCAGAGCTATCCTGTTGACACTGATGTCATAGCATGTCAAATCAATTCTGAGAGGCACCATAAGGATCGTATTCCACTCAGGATATATTCATTTGTTATACAGTACCTTTGGATTTTGTTATCTCTGGTATCTATATTTCAGATACCGTGTTGTGTTATCTTGGGTTGTGTTTTCATCTCAGGGCTTTGTACTTAGAGACTGCTCCCTTGTCTTGTTGCTGTTCTCCAGTAGACACATGTCTACACAGGTTCCATTTTGGGTAGGTAGGATTCAGGGAAGCACACAAGCTCTTCTCATCTTTTCAGTTTTTTCCTCTCATTCTTTCAGGTCTATCTCCTGGTTTTGTGATGCAGACTGCAGTGAAATACCTGTCTGCAATGTCTTCCCACCTAAGATGAACACAGGAGACAAGAAGCGTGTGACACAGCCAGCATCACACGAGGAGGCCTGCCTAGATGACAGCTGTCACCACCCCCTGACACAGCTCATGTTCCTCACAGATGCAGAGAAGATGGTTAGCACTCACGCTTTGCAATAAAGAAAACCAGTGTGAACACAATTCTTGAGGCACAGATTTCCACATCCAGCTCCACCAGAAGGAACATGAAGAGAGACCTCTTCTTCACAGGCCAGTTTACTAGGGAATGCTGGGAATTAAATAGTGGACCCTGAACTAGAAAGCAAGGTGAGCCTGAGATACAACAAACCTCACACACACTGCAGAAGTATTCCATCACCTGACAAGTCCATTACAACCATCTCAGGGAGAGAAGTAACAGACAAGCAAATCAACTAGATGTGTCTTACCAAAAACAACATCAGGATCATTTCTTTGAGGTTCTTCAAGTTGAATGGTGAGCAAAGACCATGCACAACTAAATCCTGCCCACCTCCCACCAAAGCCCCCTTGCTTTCAGGCTGAGGATTTTCACTGTCTGGCCATGTTCCTAAATGTCTCATTACCTATCAGCTCATTAGAGAAAAGAGATGGCGAAGGTTAGAAGTTAGATCTGGAGAATCAGTCTCAGATAAGCCCCTGTGCCCAGCTATATTTGGTCTTTGTGGAGCTCCTGTTCTGTCCATGTCTTACTAACTCTCTCTTCTTTCATATGATTCCCTGCACTCTGCCCAAAATTTGGCCATGAGTCTCAGCATCTGCTTTGATACACTGCTATGTAGAGTCTTTCAGAGGCCCTCTATGGTAGGCTCCTGTCCTGTTTCTTGTTTTCTTCTACTTCCAATATCTATTCCATTTTTATTTATAAATAAGGATTGATCTTCTTACCCCAGGTCCTTCTTCTTGTTTAGCTTCTTAAGGTATACAGATTTTAGTATGTTTATCCTATCTTACAGGTCTAGTATCCACTCATAAGTGAGTATATACCATATTTGTCTTTCTGCTTCTGGGATACCTCACTCGGAGCAGCCTAGCGAGGCCACAGAGGAGGACATTGCAGCCAGTCTGGTGAGACCTGATAAACTAGGGTCAGATTGAAGGGGAGGAGGACCTCCCTTATCAGTGGACTTAGAGAGGGACAGGGAGGAGATGAAAGATGAGGGAGGGAGGGGGGGATTGGAAGGGATTGAGGGAGAGAGGTATAGCTGGGATACAAAGTAAATAAAGTGTAACCAATATAAAAAAATAAAAATTTAATAATAAAAAAACAAGTTAGATCTGAATGCTCCTGCCCACTGACCAGAAGACCTGTGTTGACTGGATTCATACTATAGTTCAGCTGCAGGAAGCACTCCACTGTGCTCCAGGCTCTCCACTTGAAACTAATCTCTGTTTCCTCTGTGGAAAGCAGCAGGTGCAGGGCAGTTGGGAAGGACTTACATACTTTGATTTCTCCTCCCCCCCCCTCTAGGTGTGTGTTGGCCAATCATAGAGGAGCATTGATCAGATTGCTTTTCAGAAATATCTGCATTTCCAAGGAGTGGAGAGTGAAAAATCAATCTATCAGCTATTTTTAATCTCATTAACCCTTCATTTCTTGGCACAAAAGGCTAGAAAGTCCTAAAATAATAAAGTATGTTGAACATGGGGCTTGGAAACTGAGGGAACATGGAGAAGCAGCTCACTAATTAGGGTATAACACAACCTTGAAGGAGAATTTTCCTGATCCCTGACTCCACAAATGCAGCCTGAACTGTTGTCATACAACATGCTGGGGTCCTGTGCAGATGCCAACCAATGTTAGTTTCCAAGACACAACCTGTCTCACCCCTCTGACCACAACCTTATGTCCACACAAGATTCATGTTACTTAATTCTTGCCATTCCTGTGTCCCATGTCCTCTTGGAATTTGGTCAGGCTTGGGCTTGACAGGACTTCCACATGCTGTCACACCCTCTGTGAGCTCATACATGAACTGACCTGCTGTGTCCTGAAGACACTGCTTTCTTGTAGTCATCCACCACTTCTGGCTCTTATGGTCTTTTCACCCCCTTCCACAGCCACTCCTGGGCCTGAAGGTAGAAGTAGTTATGTTACATCTAGGGGTAGACATTCCTCAGCTTTATTCTCTGCATCCTGGCCATTGTGGGTATCTGTTTTGATTATTTTCTATGGAAAATACGAGCAGCCTTGGTAAGGGTTGATTGATGTCTTAATCTATGGGTATAATGATAAGTCATTAGGAGGTGCTTTAATATTATAGCCATTTAACAGTAAAGTCATAGTAATTCTCTCCTAGTGTTTGTGATCTGTCCATCCTTACGTTCTTGCCCAGTTATGAGTTTCATCTTGTGGAGAAGCTATTAATCTCTACTATGAAGCAGTTGGCTACTTAGATGTCGTTCTTGCCACTATTACACTTGTGGGTATGTCTGCTTGTCCAGTCATTATTGTAGCTCTCATCTGGGTCTGATGAATCGTACCTTTTCTCCTCTGGGGATGTAGATAGCACCTTCCAGCACTAGGAAGCTAGTCAGTAGGGACGTAGCTCCTGAGTCAGTATTGTCTTGATTTCACCGTGTTTTATAATTCATGGATGTGTATGTGGTATCTTCATTAATTGGACCTTTCAAGTTTTGGAAGTTAACCAAGAGGCTAATCACATGTACTGTGTCACTTCGGTACGTCAGCACCGATTTCAAGGACAAAATGAGCCGTCCACCTCAGCTCAGCTTTGGATTTTCTGGATCCTCTACGAGACATCAGTTGTGTTCTTGAGCTTTTCCTGAGGAGACACAAACAAATATCTATTCACCCCTTTGAGGCACCCATGAGAGATGAACGAAGCATCTTTTACGTTTCTGCACTTTCTATGGTTTTTTATGTTTATTTAATGTGAGTCTTATTTCATATTTAAAATGTGTCTATGTATGTACCTTGTATGTTCCACACGTTTGTGGGTAAGTCAGACTCATGTTGAGCATCTTTCACAACTGCTTTCTACCTTTTTCCTCAAGGAAGATGTCCCAGCTGTAGCCAGGTCTTCACTGTCTGCAGTCTAGCTGGCCAGCTTGCTCCATAGTTCCACTGTCTCTGCCTTCTGAGTATGGGAGCACAAGGTGGTGCCACACCCACTCAGCATTGTGTGGGTTAAATTGAGCTCTGGTCCTCATATCTTCATGTAACTTGCATGTGTTGTGTGTGTGTGTGTGTGTGTGTGTGTGTGTGTGCGCGCGCGCACATATGTGCATGTGTTTAAAATCAAGTACAGGTGCATGTTGAGGGCAGAGACTTTGGAAACCTCTGGACTCGGTGGAGTGGGGATTGTGAGCTACCCAGTGTGGGTGTTGGGAGCTGTACTCAGGGCTTCAGGAAGAGCAGTGTGTGCTTTTAGTGGTTGAGCCACGTCTCCATACCTTTAAAAAAGATCTACTTTATTATTTTAGAATTACATGTCTTTCTATGTGTGAGGGTATAAGTACCTGAGTACAGATCTTTCTCTTTTGAGGGGGAAGAAGGTTTCAAATTTAATTACTATATTTCTGTCTTTCCTTTCTGCCTTCTATTTTCTCCAATACACCACTCCCCACTCTCCTTCTAGTTTATGGCCTCTTCTTTCTTTAATTGTTATTAATGCATTTATGTACACACATGCACATTGTTAAACATAGCTTCTTCAGTCTGATTAATTTTACTTGCATGTATGTTTTCAGGGCTGACCATTTGCTACTGCAGAACCAGTAGGTGTGTGCTTCCTGGGGGAAGACCACCTCCCCTACACTCAACTTTTCTCAGTGGCCTGTAAGTCTCTGTGTAGGACGAGGTCCTTAAGGGCTTTTACCTGCCCAATTTAAGGGCATGGTCTAGGATTCAGGATATAAATTGAGAAAGAGCAGGTATGCATTGTGTGGTGTTGTCTTGTGGTGAGAGGCAGTTTGGAGAGATCTGAGAGATGGATGTGCTGTGCCAGGATCACAAGACCCTCAGAGACCACCAGGAGAAGACTTAATGCAAGAGCAAGAGAGCTTTAGTAAGAGAGTGCTTGAACTTGGGACCCAAGTCTCACTGAGGCAGCAGTAGAGAAGCGGGACCCTGAGCCCTGCGTGAGCAGGCTTTTAAAGGAAGAACTGCAAGCAGGGAGTTTCCATGACAGCAAGCAGGGGTTTTCATTCTTTGACATTACAGGATTGGGTAAAAGCCATAGGGGCAAGGTGACCTTCTACATAATCACAATTGCCATTCTTCTAAACTACACCTAGAACGTTGGGGAGAATTTTCCCAACCGATTCTCATTGATTATTGCCAGGGAGACTGTCTCTATTTTCTATTAAGTATTTATTTTGTGATATTTCCTGAAGGTTGCTGTTAGGAGAGTTAACTTTGTTTTCTGCCAAGTGCACATTCTGTGATATTTACTGGTACCTGAGTTCAGCTCCTAGTCAAGATAGCTCCTCATTTCAAAATGGAGTCACCCAGGCTAACTTAAACTCTTCAGACGGTGTGGTGGGTGGAGCAGATAGATGGATAGAAATATGTTGGGGCACAGACTGCTGGCTGCGCCCCCAATAGGGGGAGGTGATCGGACAGCCAGCCCCTGAACTCATGTCAGAGACAGTGCCTGTTCCCCTTACTAGGGACCCACTTGGATCTTGAGCTGACATGGGCTATATCTGAGCAGGGGTTCTAGGTTATCTAGGTTATATCCATGAATGGTCCTTGGTTGGAGTATCAGTCTTAGAAAAGATCCCTGTGCCCAGATTTTTTGGTTCTGTTGTTCTCCTTGTGGAGCTCCTGTCCTTTCCAGGTCTTACCCACTTCTTTCATAAGATTCCCTGCATTCTGCCCAAAGTTTGGCTATAAGTCTCAGCATCATCTCTGAAAGGTAGAGCCTTTCAGAGGCCTTCAGTGGTAGGCTCCTGTCCAGTTCCCTGTTTTCTCACTCTTCTGATGTCCATCCTCTTTGCATTTCTAAATGAGGATTAAGGATCTTAGTCACAGTCCTGCTTCTTGATTAGTTTCTTTAGGTGTACAGATTTTAGTAAGTTTATTCTATATTATATGTGTAACACCCACTTATAAGTGAGTATATACCCAGTGTATCTTTCTACTTCTGGAATTCAACCCAGCTGCTCCTCAGCTGAGGAACGGATACAGAAATATTTTTTAATTTGCCTAGATTTACTTTCCTTCTGACTTTTTTATGAACTGGAACTCATCTCCATTAGGGTTATAAACTAGCAATAACACCTTACACCCATCAGAATGGCTAAGATCGAAAACTCAAGTGACAATGCATGCTGGAGAGGATGAGGAGAAAAGGAAACCCTCCTCAATTGCTGGTGGGAATGTAAACTTGTGCAACCACTTTTGAAATCAATCTGGGGTTTTCTCAGACAACTAGGAATAGTGCTTCACCAAGATCCAGCTTTACCACTCCTAGGTTTATATCCAAATATGCTCAATTATATAACAAGGAGATTTGCTCAACCATGTTTATGCAGCTTTATTCATAATAGCTAGAACCTGGAAACAACCCAGACGTCCCTCTACAGAGGAATGGATGCAGAAATTATGGTACTTTTACACAATGGAATACTACTCAGCAATTAAAAACAATGAAATCCTCCAAAATAGACCATATAGTTGGTCACAAATCAAACCTCAAAAGACAAAAGAAGATTGAAATAATCCCTTGTATCCTATCTGATCACCATGGACTAAAGCTGGACCTCAACAAAAAATAGAAAAGCAAAAAGCCTATACAAACATTGAAACTGAACCACTTGCTACTCAATGACAACTGGGTTAGGGAAGAAATAAAGAAAGAAATTAAAGACTTCCTAGAATTGAATGAAAATGAAGACACAACATACCCAAACTTATGGAACACAATGAAAGCAGTGCTAAGAGGGAAATTCATAGCACTAAGTGCTTTCAAGAAGAAATTTGAAACATCTCATACAAGCAACATAACGGTTCACCTGAGAGCCCTAGGGGGAAAAAAAAGAAGCAGACACACTCAAGATAAGTAGACAGCTGGAAATAATCAAACTCAGGGCAAAAATCAATAAATTCGAAACAAATAAAACAATTCAAAAAATCAAAAACAATGGAAATGATGAAATTTGCAGGCAAATGGTGGGATCTAGAAAAGATCATCTCGAGTGAGGTATCCCAGAAGCTGAAAGACACACACAGTATATACTCACTTATAAGTGGATATTGGACACATAATATAGGATAAATGTACAAAAATCTGTACACCTAAAGAAGCTAAGCAAGAAGAAGGACCCTGGGTAAGATGTTAAATCCTCACTCAGAGAGACAAATGGGATAGACATTGCAAGAAGGAGAAAACAGGAAACAGGACAGGAGCCTGCCACAGAGGGCCTCTGAAAGACTCTACCCAGCAGTGTATCAAAGCAGATGCTTAGACTTATAGCCAAACAGGAATCTTAGGAAGAAGTGAGGAAGGCCTGGAGAGGACAAGAGCTCCACAAGGAGAGCAACAGAACCAAATATCTGGGCACAGGGGTCTTTTCTGAGACTGATACTCCAACCAAGGACCATTCATGGATATAACCTAGATAACTTAGAACCCCTGCTCAGATATAGCCTATGTCAACTAATCTCTAAGTGACTGGCTCTTTGATCCCCTCCCTCTGAGTGGGGAGCAGCCATGTCAGGTCACAGATGAGGACAATACAGCCAGTCCTGATGAGACCTGATAAGCTATGGTCAGAGGGAAGGGAAGGAGGACCTCCCCTCTCAGCGCACTTGGAGAGGGGCATGGGAGGAGATGAGGGAGGGAGGGTGGGATTGGGAAGTAATGAGTGAGGGGCTACTGCTGGGATACAAACCAAATAAGCTGTAATTAATATAAAAAATAAAAATTAATTTAAAAATTTACCCTAAAAGTCCATATTAAAATCCATTTATACAATACAATATTGCAGTATCTTCAAGTCACCATCAAGATTTCCTATTTTCTTTTAAACTTTTTATTTTATCAAAGTAATCTAATTGTGACCACAGATACAAGTCAGTTGGTAAAGTGATTTCCCAGCATGAATAAGGCCTTGGGTTCTATCCCCAGCATCTTATCATATGCATGTGGTCCTGGATCCCTATAATGCTGGGACTCAGGACATAGAGGTAAGAGGATCAGGACCTTGAAGTCTTCCTTGGAACATAGTGAGTTAGGGACTAGCCTGGGCTACTTAAGACCCTGTCACAAAAGAAAAAATATGAAGTCCAGCAAGTTTACTCTGTAGGTAAATACACTTGCTTCCAGATCTAAGAACCTGAGTTTGATTGTGAGGTATGTAATTAGCTCACACCTCATATTTTGGCCCTTTATTCTCCACAAACCTGCCTGTGAGACCTCCCAAGGCAGCACAATGGACCTCTTCATCACTTCAGGAAACAGAAAATCCCTGCTGTCACTGTGAAACTCCTCTTTGTTTCACCCCTATCAAGTCAGTTTGCAAACTTAAGCCCTGTTTTCAAATCTATTCACAACTTATCATTCCTCCTACATTACCTTCTTCCTGACTTCCTTAGTCTTTGATTATGTCATCCACATCACTGTATTTCCTGTGAGTGTTCTTATAACAACATGGATGATCAAACAGCCAGAGTTATCCTGTAGACACTGAAGTCCTATCAAGTCAAGGCAATTCTGAGAGAAACCATAAGGATTCCCATTTCCCCCAAGAAATTTTCATTGTGTATACAGAGCATATGATACCTACATACAAGAAACCTTTGAATTTAATTATGACAGTTCTGGAGCCTCTGGTGTGTGAATTGAAACCACCCTGTTACTTTGGGCTGTCTTATCTCAGGACTTTGTACTTAGTGGCTGCTTCCTTTCCTTTTCCCAGTAGCCAATTGACTATTAACTTAATCCCCTTCATCTGGGTTTTACTTCAATTAAGGAGGCTTTAGTATGAATATATGCATTGGGATATAAAATTGTATCTGCCTCCATTATTCACCATCCTTTCATTATGTCTGTTTCCCTAATAGCATTTGCAGGTACATAATGTGTTTTTAATTGGCTTAGTCGCTACCATCCTCCCACAGTATAATGAACCTCAGTAGGCAGAATGTGCTTTGGTGTTGCTCACTTGTTCACCTCCAGCACACAGGTCTATGGTGGTTTATCATCAGGGAATGAATGGGGAACATGAGGAATGCACTTGGACTTCCTTGTGAACATTTGGGTCATTACTGTCATTCAGTCTGGTGTGTGTGAAACTGAAGTCCCACACTCATGTGAGTGGCTGCCAAGAGTCTCAAGAAAGCACAAACCAGTCTAATGCAAAACAGAGATCTCCTCAGAACCATAGTGTGTTTATGATCACAAGTACATACATAGTCTTGCACAGAGAGCTCCTGTCCAATCCACAGGACAAACGGAAACCCCTGTGCAGGAAACCAGAGCTTCAGAACTTTGTTCAACCTGACTGTGGGTACATGCCTGGAAAGGGTGGGTGAAGAGAATGTCCTAAAAGAGAAGCTAAGCCTGGTTAAATAAACACCATACCTGGATTCCTGTTAAAGGAAACAGCCTCCCACAGGAAACAGACAGAATCTCCCAGAAAGCACACATACTGTTCTCATCATTTCTGGTTTCCCTCTCATTATTTCAGTTCTAGCTCCTGGTTTTTTGATCTAGGCTCCAGTGCAATACCTGTCTTCAAGGTCTTCCCACTGAATATGAACACAGGAGATGAGAAGGCTTCCACACACCAGCATCACACAAGGAAGCCTGCCCAGATGTCAGCTGTCACCAACCCTGACACAGCTCATGTTCCTCACAGATGCAGAGAAGATGGTTAGCACTCATGCTTTGCAATAAAGAAAACCACAGTGAACACGAGTCTTGAGACAGATTTCCATAGTCACCTCCCTCAGAAGCAGCCTGCAGAAAGACCTCTTCTTCACAGGACCACTTTCTAGGGAATGTAGGGATTCCATAGTTGACTCTGAACTAGGAAGCAAGGCGAGCCCGAGATACAGCAAACCTCACACACTGCAGAGGTTTCCCATCACCTGACAGGTCCACTACAACCATCTCAGGGAGAGGAGTAACAGACAAGCCAATCACCTGGATGTGTTTATCAAAAACAACATTGAAATCATTTCCCGTAGGTCTACCTCAACTTGAATGATTGGCATTCAATCACAACACCTACAAGTTCATCCTGTCCATCAAAGCCCTGTAGTTTTCAAACTCAGGATGCTCACTGTGTGGGCATGTTCCTACATGCCTCCTTACCTATCAGCTCTTTAGACAAAAGCTGGTGAAGGTTAGAAGTTAGATCTGAATGCTCCTGACCACTTACGACAAAATCCTGTGTCCACTGGATTCACACACTGTAGTTCACCTGTGGAAAGCACCCTCCAAGGTGTGATTCAGGTTACTGCATCCACTGCAGGACTTATATATCCTTCTGCTCCCCACCCCCCGTGTTGGCCAATCATGGGAGAGCATGGAGATAGTTGCTTTCCAAAATCTCCTGCATTTCCAAGAAGAGGAAAGTGAAATAAAACTAACAGTTGTTTTTCATTCCATCAACCCTTCATTTCTTGGCAGAAAAAGCCACACAGTCCTCAAATATCCATGGTTGAGTAATGGCTTGGGAAAAGATAGAGGACACAAAACAAAGCTTACTAGCTAGGCTGGAACACAAACCTTGAAAGATAATTTTCCTGATCCCTGACTCCACAAATGCAGCCTGAACTGAAGTCACACAGCACATTTTCTGGGGTCCTGTGTTGATGCCAATATTCGTGTCACCCAAGACACAACCCTTCTCATCCCCTCTGACTACAACCTTATTTCCTCACCCTTGAAGAATCCTGTTCCTTAATTCTTTCTTGTGTTTTAGTAAAAATAGGTCACTTTCTTATAAAACATATATTGATTATAGTTTCCCCTTCCTTACTCCTCCCGTTCCTCTTTACCTCCCCTCTGCTCAGGATCCATTCTCTTTCCATCTCTCATAGAAAAAGAAAAGTCTTCTAATAAAAAAACAACCAAACATAACAAACAAAATCTAATAAGATTAAGTAAATAGTCCCAAAATCATGCAAAGGAGTCAGAGACCCACTTGTTCACAAAGTCAGGAGTCTCATAAAAAATACTTAGCTAATAGCTATCATTCATAGCCAGAGGACCTGGTATAGGTCCATATAGGCCCTGTGCTTACTGCTTACTGCCTCAGTGCAGGAGGAGTCCAGCCCTGGGTGAGAGAAGGGCTTGAAGGGCCCTTGAAGGATGCAAGAGCAAGGGAAGGAAGGATCAGACTCAGGACCCCATTCAGTTTCATTTCATGAGAGACAGGACAGCGAGGAAGCCTTGACCTCGGTATGACTTGACCTGCTCTCACAACTTGTGTCCCTTGCCAGCTTTATTTATACATAAAATCACTTCCCCTGAAACTGTCATTAGTGATTACATAGCTTCAGTCTTCCTTGGCTATATAAGTATATGGGAACAAAAGAAATAAAAATGCTGGACAGGATGACTCTATTTGAGCTTGATTCTGTATCAAGTTGGCATAGAATTCATAGATTGAAAATTATTTCCTTCCACCTGTCTCTGACATGGACTCTCTCTGTTGCTTGCTTTTTGATAATTTCCCCATGTAGGGCTGCTGAACCAGCCCCAGGAGAAGAGGATGTGCTCAATCCCAATGCGACTTGATATGATGGGGTGGGTTGGTGGGAGTCTCCCCTTTTCTGAAGAGTAGGGGAGAGAGATAAGGAAGAAGAGGGAGGAAGGGTGGGACCAGGAAGAGAGAGTGGAAGGGGCTATGATATAAAGTAAATAAATAAGTAAATAAATAAATAAATGAATGAAATGGAGAGATCCCATACTAGCAATGTAACAGCACACCTGAAAGCTCTAGAACAAGAAGCAAATAGGCCAAGAGGAATAGACAACTGGATGGGAGGCTCCCCTTTTCTGTGGAATAGGGAAGGGGATGGGAGATAGGGGAGAAGGGTGGGACTGGGTGGTGAGGAAGGATGGGGCTATGACCAGGATGCAAAGTGAATAAGTAAATATTTTACTATTTATTCATTATATATCCAGATTGAAACCCCCTCCCTCAATTCCTCTCAGTCCCACCCTCACTCCCTCTTCTCCCTATCCTCTTTCCCTAGTCCACTGAAAGGGGGGAGTTCTCCTCTTCTGCCATCTGCCCATAGCTTATAAAATTTCATCTGGACTGCCTGGATCCTCTTCCTGTGTAGCCTGGCAAGGCCGCATTCCCAGGGGCAAGTGGTCAAAGAGCAAGCAACTGAGTTCACGCGAAAAGCAGCCCCTGCTCCCCTTACTTGGGTACCCACAAGGAGACTGAGCTGCCAAACAACTACATCTGAGCAAGGCATCTTAGTCCTCTCCATGACTGGTCCTTTCTTGTTGCATTGGTTTCTGCAGGACCCTTAGGGCTCATGTATTTTAGTTTTATTGATATCCCTGTGGGGCTCTAGTCCCCTCTGTGTCCTTCTATCCCTCCTCCCTTCTTCCGTAGACTCCCTGTGCTCTGCCCAAAGTTTGACTGTGAGTGTCAGCATCTGCTTCAATCCCCTGCTGGGTAGAATCTTTCAGAGGGCCCATCCTGTTCCTGCTCTTCCACTGCTTCAGTGTCTATCCTGTTTGCCATTCAGCATGAGATTTAAGCATCCTCCCTAGGGTCCTACTCACTGTTTAGCTTCTTTAGGTCTGTGGATTTTAGTATGGCTATCCTGTATTATATGGGTAATTTCCGTTTATAAGTGAGAGTATGTCATATGTGTCTTTCTGTTTCTGGGTTACCTCACTCTTTTGTAGTTCCGTCAATTTTCCTGCACATTTGTTGATTTCCTTGTTTTTATTTGCTGAGTAGTATTCCATTGTGTAAATGTACCATAGTTTCTGTATCCATTCCTCTCTTGAGAGACATCTAGGCTGTTTCCAGATTCTGGCTACTACAAATAAAGCTGCTATGAGCATAGTTTGGGCAAAGGTCCTTGTTAAATGGTAGGGCATCTTTTAGGTATATGCCCAGGAGTGGTATAGCTGGATCTTAAGGTAGTGCTATTCCCAATTTTCTGAGAAAAAGCCAAATCAATTTCCAAAGTGACTGTACAAGTTTTTATTCTTATCAGGTGAGTCAGGCCCTGGGACACAGTCTGCTCACAGTTCTTAGGGAAAAGTGAGAACGATTCTGACAGTGGAAGAAATGTAGTGGACTCTCAATGGAATTTTAGCCACAGTGATAAGGATAGCTGCATTTTCCCTGGGAAATTGGAGCAGTTTCTTAGGCTGCTTGCTACCGGTGAAACAGAGCACACACAGAATTTGGGAAGAAGCAAAAGCAGTAGAAGGAAGCTTTGGTTGAGTCTCCAGCACCATGTAGATTCCTTCCTGTTCCTTCTCTCTACCTTTCCCTTTCTCACCAAAGCACCCATCCTTCAACATCACCACAGTAGCTTCCCCAACATGTTTTGTATTTTCAACACAATCTTATGAAGCCAGGCTGGCCTGGTATTGCAGTGAACAATTGATGGGCTTGAATTTCAGTGATTCACCTCTAGCTCTCCAGTGCTGGCATCACAGGTGATGAGGGCTAAACCCAGAGCATTCTGAACTCTACCATCCGAACTACATCTCGAGTGCTACCTTTCATTTCCTTTCAAAAATGTTTTAATGTAAGTTTATTTATTTTTTTATTTACTTACTTATTTGAGACAATGTCTCACTATATCACCCAGGCTTTCCTGGAACTCACTCTATAGACCAGGCTGACCTATGACTCCCAGAGATCCACCTGGTCTTGCTCTCTGAGTGGCAGATTACAGGCATGGGCTTCTACTGTAGGTTCATTTATTTTGTAAAGTAGAACACAGTGGGTTGGAGCAAAGTCTCACAGGTAAAGCACTTGCTGTGTAAGCATGAGGACCTCAGACAGGATCGCCAATCCCATGAAAGCCAGCTGTGGTGGGATCACTGTCCATCCTTCCACCATTGATGGGTAGTAGGTTCAAGGAGAGACCTGTCTTAAAAATAAGGTGAAAAGTGATAGAAGAAGACACGGGATGATGACTCCCACCCTTCACATGTACTTGCATGGTTGAGTGCATATGTGTACACTCACATGAATGTACAGTATACACAAAAGTCCAATTTGAATTTATAAACATGCTACATAAGCTTTTGTAAATTATATTAGAAACTAAAAACCATTTCTAGCCAATGAGATGAGCAGAAAATGATTTCCATCTTCAAAGTCTGTCAGAGGCTATTCTGTTAGAGGAGTTCAGTATGCATGTGAGCTTTCTGGAAGGGATCCAGTATTTTGCAAGGTCTGTACTTTGATGCACCCAGAACTGCTTCCAGCCTCTCACAACATGTCTTTTGTGCATTGCTGCATCTCTTTAAAATCTGGCATGGTGTGAACTATCACTTTATGGGTATCTACCCACTCTAGTTGAATAAACTTCCTACAGGATGTTACTGAAGATGTACTACTGTTCAGATGAATTACTTCTTGATTGTGGAATTCCTGATTCGATTCAAATGATTTTATAAGTTAAGTCATTTATGAACATCTAACACAATTTTAGAAAGTTTATGGCTGCAATAAATACCTTTGTGTACCTGTAGATACTGAGACAGGCATAAGGCAGATTTGTAGCCTCAGACAGCCTTCACTCCAGATGATACCATGAATCCTAGTACACACCATAAACCCAGGCAAGTTGGTTTAAACCTTCCATGAATCCAAGTTATAATGGGACTACAAACAGTATCTAATTAAGTACAACCCTTAATGTGATAGTATATACAATCTGATTTGTTGTAATTCCTTATACCTTGTCATCTTAGGGCGTTATATGTCATTTTAAATTTACTTTATTTCTTAGAATGATAGGCAGGTAAAATTACTGTTCCTAACTCACTATAAACTAAGAAAATGTGAAGGCTGGTTGGTCCTAATTGAAAAGACTAATATTCTTATGACTTTTAGACTTTTAAACCTTTAGGCCTTGTCAAACTTTGTCACTCTGAACTCACTATGAGCTTATGTAATGGATACATTGAAAAGAAATGTTTAGTTTTATAATTTGTAACCTGTTGTATTTTAGATTTTATCTGTTTTTATGATTAATTGCCTCTTTGACTATGAAGTAATTCCTTTTCTGGGAATTTTGTCTCAGAGGTATAAAGACCATATAATAAATGTTGTCAGAAACCCTGTTGGCAGAAGCCCAGTGGTGGAAGCTCATGAGAATGGAAGCCTGTTGGAATTTGCTTCATCCATGAATTTTCAGTATGTATATAAATAGGTGTTTACATGTAAATATATCTGTCTGTATGTTTTGTACATATGTTACATGAGTGTATTTCAATTG